TCTCCCTCACCTGCAGATGCCCCCAGCACGTATGCTGGCCTTCGTCATGGCGCTCATGGGCTGCCTCCTGATCATGTACAAGGCCCTCTGGTACGACCAGTTCACCTGCCCGGATGGCTTCCTGGTTCGGGTAAGGCAGGCAAGCTGGGCCCAGAGTGGGGCGGGGGTCCCCAGGCAGAGTACCAGGGAGGGGCCCTGGGGGTCTCCAGGGGAAGCATGGGGACGGGTGCCCCCGGGGGAGCCCAGGGCGTGTCCTGCTCCTGTGGGATTAGGATCTCCTAGCTCCTTGTGCTCCGGTTACCTTCCCAGAAAACATTCAAATCCTCTTTTGAAAGATTCAAGGAAAAGGTGTTTTAGCAAGAAACGTTGTCGTCCTGTGAGTAAGAACCAAGTAAAACCTCAGGGAGGAGGTGCAGGGACAGAGGTGAGCTGGCCAGGCAGTCCTCCCGGGTCAGCATCTGCTCTGCACCAGAGGTGCTGCTCTCTCCCTCGCTGACCCGTGCGGGGCCTTCTATGTGATATGACATTAACCTTTTCCCACAGTTGGCAAATATTTCCTCCCTTCTCTTTTCTCTCTCTTAACTTCAGTAAGGGTTTTTAGCCTTTTTAGTGTATTTTCCTAACGCCTCTAATTTTTCAGTAGTGAACTCTACTTTCACCCTAACCCCCGCGTCCCTGAGATGGGGCCTAGGAGGCCTGTCTGCATTCCCAGGGGTTCCCTGTCCCCCACTCGCTGGGATTCCCTCCATGTGCTCTGGGTGGGGGTGGGCTGGGGTGTGCTCCTCCCCTTCATTCCTGGGGAGGGGCCACCCCCCCCCTTCTGAGAGGGGTTGACGCTCCATGGACCCCCCACTTCTGAATTGGAGGCCAACTTGGATGGCTGGAAATTAGGGCAGAAACAAATGTATCTCGGGCGATTGTGCGCAGTATTACTGAGCTGCTCCAGAGCAGAAGGACAGGAAGGCCTAGAGGTCCCGGCCCTCCCCTCCTGTGGCGCACAAATGTGGCTGCTGCTTAGTGCTTCGTGGTCGGTGTCATCCAGGGGAGCTCACCCCCGTTTGCACCCCTGAGCCCAGGGGCAGCCCCGCCCCCTGCCCCGCCGCGCCCCGCCCCTGCAGCAGCACAAGATGTGCACCCCGCTGTCCCTGGAGATGTACTACGCGGAGATGGGCCCCGAGCGCCACCGCAGCATCCTGGCGGCCATGGGGGCCTACCCGCTGAACCGCAAGCAGGGCACCGAGCCCCCCGTGGTCTGGAGGAAGATCCATCCCGCCTTCAAGGAGGCGCCCAAGGCCCCCCCCCAGGCGGGC